GGGCGTATCTCAAAAAATTATTTTGTAAATTAAGGATTACAAAATAATTCTCATGATCAACCTATATATATTTACTTATTGTATATACATGCACATATATTAAATTTATATGAATGTAGGTCTGGTAGGTATACATATAGACACAATCATAAGGGCTAAGTGAAGAAAAAAGAAAGAAATTAAATTAGAGAGGCGTGGGCGGGGGAATGGCTTTCCAACTCATAAATAAAAATTCTGTTTGGATGACATGAAAAGGAGAGGAAAGGAAATGGGTAAGTACCGAGGGAGCGTGTGTGTCTTCTTTCTTTATATATAAATGTATATGTGTGTGTATATATATATGTATACTGTTTTCAAAAACAAAAAGAAAGATATATGGTTTTTTAGCTTTGTGAATGGAGCTGGTGGTTGCCTCTGCTTCTTCCATTTTCAAGAGTGCTGACAAAAGAGTCTTCTGTTTAATCATCAGCCACCCACCTCCCCTCCTTCCTTTTCTTTTTCTCTATCCCTCCTTATATATACACAAACACACATCATATATATGTATACACATACATGATTAATCAAAGCAATCCAAACCCCTATTCGCTTTTTAGCTATATTACAAATTAATATCTGATGATATGGTTTTGCATGTTCTCTAACATGCTTTAATTTTGTTACATTTATTAATAATTATTAAATCTTGGCAACATATATATATATATAAATCAACTATCATTTCCTATCCTGATATATAAAAGAGAATCTGCCTTGATGTGATATTGGTAAAGTTTATTATTAATCTCTCTCATCAAATATACTCATCACACGTAAGATATATATCTATAGTTATTTTCCATATATATAGATATATTATGTAGTTACTTTCCATTAAATATGAGAACATGGGAGAGAAAATTAAAGATAGAAAATTAAAACGAAGATTCGAAAGAGAGAGGAGGAAAATTATTTGTTGTTGTTCTGCCAAGTTTTTGGTAAAAAGAGACAAGTTAGAGATATTCAAAAAGCAACTGTAAATAATTAATATATATTTAGCAGAAAACTTTACCCAGATGACACTTGTATTTATAAAGAAAGATAATTGAAAAGTTTCC